AGAAAGATAGAAGAAACAACAAATCTTGTCCTAGAAACAGAATCGATGAAGGATTTCTGTTAATGACTCAAAAGGAAACAGATGCAGAAAATGACACTATGTGGTACCTGGATTCAGGAGCAAGTAACCATATGTGTGGTCATAAACACTTGTTCAAAGAAATAAAGAAAATTGAGGATGATCATGTTTCCTTTGGAGATGCGTCGAAAGTAAGGGTCGAAGGAAAATGAACAATCAGCTTCTTGCAGAAGGATGATTTGATAGGATTAATCCAAGATGTGTACTATGTACCAAACTTCAAAGAAAATATTTTGAATCTGGGACAACTTACAAAAAGGGCTATTCGATACTCCTAGAAGATCGAAGCTTGCACTTAAAAGACAAGTCAGGATTTCTGGTTGCTCAAGTCGAAATGAGGAAAAATCAAATGTACAAGTTGAATTTAAGAAGCATTCGAGAAAAGTGTTTGTAAGCCAATGTCGAAGACCAAGCATCCCTGTGGCATCTACGTTTTGGTCATCTACATCAGGCTGGACTAAGGAGGTTAGCGAAAAAAATATGGTGCATGGACTTCCAGACGTAGAATTCGAAAGAAAGTTCTGTGAAGAATGTGTGTTCGACAAACAGACGAGAACCTCATTTCAAAGGAAGGCATAATATTAGGCTAAACAAATTCTGGAATTGATTCACACTGACATATGTGGACCAATTACCCCGGAATCCTTTAGTGGCAAAAAGTACTTTATGTCTTTTATTGATGATTTTTCAAGGAAAACTTGGATGTATTTTCTAAAAGAAAAGTCAGACGCCTTCGAAGCATTTAAGAAGTTTAAGATAATGGTGGAGAAAGCAACAGACAGACACATCAAAGCTCTTCGATCAAACAGAGGTAGGGAGTATACTTCGACAGCCTTTATGAAGTACTGTGAAGAGCAAGGCATAATAAGATTTCTGACTGCAGCATACTCACCTCAACAAAATGGTGTGGCGAAAAGAAAGAATCGAACAGTCCTTGACATGGTTCGATCAATGCTTAAGAGCAAGAACATGTCGAAGAAATTTTGGGCAGAAGTTGTACAATGTGCAATCTACGTTCAAAATAGATGTCCACATTCAAAGTTGGGAGATTTTACACCTCAAGAAGCTTGGAGCGGACAAAAGCCAATTGTATCTCACTTCAAAGTGTTTGGAAGTGTGGTTTATGCACATGTACCTGATCAAAGAAGAACAAAGCTGGAAGATAAGAGTCAAAAATACATACTCATTGGGTATGATGAGAAAATGAAAGGTTACAGACTTTTCAACCCAATAAACAAAAGGTGATAGTGAGTAGAGATGTTCGAGTAAATGAAGGAAGCAAGTGGGACTGGATTAATTCGACTGAAGTTATGATCGAATTACCAAGTGCTATATCGAAAAACACTTCGACAGAACCAGAAGACTCTGATGATGAAGATGGAATCTCACAGCCCAGACTGCGAAGTTTACAAGACTTGTATGAAAATACAGAAGAAGTGTATCTCGTATGTTTGTTGGCAGACACTGAAGATGTCAGCTTTGACGAAGCAGTAAGAAACAAAAATTGGAAGGATGCTATGAATGAAGAAATTAAGGCCATTGAACACAATGACACTTGGGAACTAGCAGAGCTACCAAAAGAAAGTCAAACAATTGGTGTGAAATGGGTGTTTAAGAAAAAGATAAATGCACAAGGTGAAATCGAAAGATACAAGACGCAACTTGTGGCGAAAGGATACAAGTAGAAAGCATGAATAGACTATGATGAAGTGTTTGCACCTGTTGCAAGAATGGAGATAATTCGACTACTCATATCTCAAGCTACTCAATACAAATGGCAAATATATCAGATAGATGTCAAATCAACCTGTTTGAATGGTGTGCTTGAAGAAGAAGTTTATGTCAAACAACAACTTGAATACATGAAAATCGAAAATGAAAAAAGGTGCTAAAGTTAAAGAAGTCACTTTATAGGCTGAAGCAGGTACCACGAGCATGGAATACACGAATTGACACATACTTCAAAGAAAATGGATTTCGTCAATGTCCTTACGAACATGCCCTGTATGTGAAGAAGAAAAAAGAGAAAATATTGTTTGTTGCTCTCTATGTAGATGACTTAATTTTCTTGGGCAACAATAATCAGATGATAGAAGAATTCAAAGGCACAATGACATAAGAATTTGAGATGACTGACTTAGGCCTGATGAAATACTTTCTTGGTCTGGAGGTTCGACAAGAAGAAACATGAATCTTCATCTCACAAGAAAAATATGCAAAAGACATCCTAAAGAGATTTAAAATGGATAGCTGCAATCTAATTTCGACACCAATGGAACCAGAAGCAAAGCTTTCGAAATTTGATGGGAGAGAGCGTGTCAAAGCAAACAAATTTCGAAATTTGGTGGGAAGTCTTCGATACCTCACATGCACAAGGCCAGATCTTTCATTGAGTGTTAGAATTGTGAGTCGTTTCATGGAAGAACCAGTTTTTGCACACTGGAAAGCTCTAAAGAGAATCCTTCGATATGTCCAAGGAACTGTGTCACTTGAAATATTTTACTCAATGCAAAAGAATGCAAGTTGACTGGCTACTCTGACAGCAATTGGTGTGGTGACATAAATGATCGAAAGAGCACTTCAGGATATGTGTTCTTCATGGAAAACATTGCATTCACCTGGATGTCAAGGAAACAACCCATAGTAACTCTTTCGACCTGTGAAGCAGAGTATGTGGCAGCATCTTAGTGCGTATGCCATGCAATATGACTGAGAAAATTGTTGAGCATGATGGAGCCGAAACAGGAAGATGCAACAATAATTCAAGTCGACAACAAATATGCAATCGAACTGACGAAGAATCCAGTCAACCATGAAAGAAGCAAACACATTGATGTTCAATTTCATTTTATTCGAAAATATGTGAAGAATGGAAGCATCGAACTGCAGCACGTTGCAAGCAAGGATCAAACAACATACATTCTTACAAAACCACTGTCGAATGAGCTATTCGACGAAGGCAAGAAAATGTTAGGCATAATGGATCGAAGAAATATTTGAATTTATGGGGAGTTTTTTTGGTTAAATTCAAATCTGCATTGGGTAGTGCAAAAGACAGATTCTCTTTGGACAGTGAGAAATTTATTCCTTTGAGACCTAAAAATAGTTAATGCTGTAACATTTAATATTCTATCTTGTGATCTCTATATAAATCACTTTGTACTCATATCAAAATTAAGTTAGACAATTTTATAAAAGAAAACAAGTTTACTCCACTTCCATTTTTCTTCATTATTCATGAAGGAATTTTTTCATTCCCTAGTTTTGAACATTGTGGTAGTACATAATTTTTTGAGATATTCAATGATATATACTCGTTCAATTCATGATGAGGATTTTGACTGTGCATTAACCTGTGGTTTTAAAAATTGAGTTTTCTTTAGACCTTAGGGGGGCAATGAAGATGATCATGCTCAAGGCAAAAAGTACTCGCAAACTGAGAGTACTCACAAATGTGCTTACATATCTATTTCAGAGTCAATACAGGATTATAAATTGACATTTTGTTGATTTGCTGTAGTGTTGACAAGTTTCTCTTAAACAATATTATAACTCACAAATGTGTTAACATATTATCTATTTCAAAGTCAATACACTGATTATAAATCGACATCTTGCTAATTAGCTATGTTATTTACAAGTTTCTCTTGAACAATAGCAAATAAGCCAGATTCAAAATTTTCAACATTTTCAAAACAAAATAAGAAAGGTAAAGTGCGCAATTGACAAAGAATATATCGGACATGTAGAGAAATACTTACTTTTATGCAAAGGGTTAACAGGTGACTTTTGCCACGACAACTTTGCTGGCGTCTATCACCATCCTGCACAAGCCAGGACAGCCAGAACAGTTCATCCACTTCTGCAACAATCACAGACAAGGGTGGAGCAGTTGATATAATAGGGCCCGGTGGAAATGTTTATCAGAAACAACCTCAACATGCACATATAAACTGGCCAAGTAACTACTGAAACAGGCTTGGTGACAACCGATAAACAAGATAGATTGAAGTCCTATCTGGGGCAGCATTTTTGGAAACTCTAAAAATAATGGTGGAGTCCTTTAAGAATTCACAAAACTTAGCTACTTAGATCGAATAACCGAGATGCTACCAACAAATATGGATACTATAAACATAAGTTGGTTTTGTAATTATTTGTTTCTAATTTAACAATTAATCATTCATGGCTTAATCTTAGAAGTTAAAAGTGAGGATGCTTTAATGGTTCAATCTTCTCTTTTCTAATAAAAATTCTCAGCTTAGGAGAGGACTAATAATGCATATGTGGTCCAATACCAAACTAGACTTGCATTAAGAACAGAGGCAGTGTTGGAATCATTAAGAACAAAGGAACTTTCGAGACTATTCACGTCCAGGATGCCACAAGTGACGAGTTTGCTATCATGAAACAATAGAATTTTGTTTAAATTTTGCTATGCTATTGCGCTGCTATAGCTACTATTTGACAACACGCCTACTCATTAACGAAATCCTGCTGTTAAGTTCAAAGACTTCGTAAAAAATATAGGGTACTTCAATTACAAGATGCTAAGTTATTTCATATAAGTTTTGCATCTTTTGTTTTCCTAGCTTTTTATGTAAAACACAACTTAATCTAACATGTACAAGTGAACTTAGTGTTGTATGGTGCACAAATCTTTTTTACCATTAGATAAATGATGTCCATCAAATGTTTATGGTACACTATTCATAACAGACCTGTTAGTACAACTTTAAAATCTAATGTGCAATATTTTGGGACTTTTATCTTCAAAAATTTGTTTAATGATTTTTTTCCTATAAGTTTTTCTTTATTAACTTTATCCGAAATATTTGGTTTGTGAGATGCCTCGGGTAAATAATGTTGGTCTGATAACTAACACACGAAGAGGTCCAAGATCACCTTGGCTTCCATTTCTGATGTTATTTGCTGCAATAAGAAGCAGGGTTCCTCCGAAAATGATGCTTCTTATAAAGGCATATTACGTACAGTTCATGGTATGTTAAGCCGCTGTAATTGATGCCTATGTCTTATTTGATGAAATATCGCTAATGTATCATTTTGTACTTATGCAGGCAAAGGAGATTTCCCGTCAGGATTTCGT